ACACACACACACACACACACACACACACACACACACACACACACACACACAAGATGTGGTAAAATGCTGTGTGTGCTGGTCTGCACTGACACTTCCCAACCCTGGCAGCGGTGGACGGGGGGCTGTGTGAGGGGTGTTTTCACTTAAACGGACAGATGGACAGATATTCCAACGTCTTTTCTCCTCTCTGAAAAGATAAAACTCCATCCCGGCGACCCCGGGGAGCACGAGGAATGTCAGGCGGAGTGACGCGTCAGCAGCGTCCTCCTCGCCTCAAGAGACCAAAACTCTGCTTAGCATTCGGCTGAAAGGTTGGAGACGAGCCGAAAGGAGCTGAATCACTAAGACAGAGTGCGACCGGATCGGATAAAATAGTTTTCAGGGAGTTGTTCTACTTTGCAAAGCCTCGTGGCGGTATGTGAAATCCACCAGGTGTTAAATAGCTTCATTTATTTTAGCACTTCTGATAAACATCAAGGATAATATTCTCACCAGAGTTAAAAATCCCCACAGACGACAGTAGCTCGGTTTGCAGAACCGAAATGTAGTCAAACACTGATTGTCTATAAAAGCTGCTTTTTAAATTATTTTCAAATTAAACATGTGCTTACAGCAAATTTACAGAAGGAACCAGGCAGCTGCACAAATAGTAAATAGAACGGTCCCAGATGGTTGAACTCAGATGTGTATGTTTTCATCTTTATACCAGTTTTAACCCCACATGATCACAATGGAGGAAACACTTTAAAGAGATTTCTACTAATAGAATTGTAATGTGATTTAACACACTTTAACAACTTGTTCAATTTAATATTTCAGGATTCAGCTGTGAAATCGAGACTACATCATAGTTTAAAAGCCGTAAAGGGCAATATTCAGTTTTATTACCATCTAATGTGGCATCTTGGGAGTTGTAAACAGCCCTAACTTTATTAGAACTGGCAATGTTTTGTTGCGTCCTGAGTAGACGACTTCGTAAAGACATAATCATGATCAGTGGACACAAGCGGCAGTGGAAATGAAGCTTAAAATGTGTAATAAAAAGAAAGAAAGATGGCTTTTATCTTTCTGGTTTAACCAGAAGGGCAAAGTAAAAAGCACACGCTGGCTTATTGTTCTGTTTGTCACGATTATCAGTTTATTACAGCCGGACCATTTTACAGTCCTGAGAAGATTGTTGTAGTTGTACGAATCACGGAGGATGTGTGGTGTAAATTATTTATATTATTTATTAAGTAAAGTGTAGTTTAATTGGATGTTAAAGCAGGTATAAGTGGATGAAAATCAAAAGACTGACTTGGATTTTGATGCTGTTCCACTGCAGGGGGAAGGATTAATATCAGACAAAGTAACGCATGGGTTTATGTGAACCCAATGAAACCCAAGCAGGCTTTTTAAAATGAATTTTAAAAAATGCACACGTCAAACGGGCCATTGCTCTTTTTGATTAAAGAGGGTAATAACAGCGTTTGGGGAGGCTGCAGCATCTCAAGCTCGTTTGGCTCTGAACTGTCCGAGTAATAAATTATCAGTATTGATTTGGTGCTGCAGCCTTTCAGATATCTATAAGGACATCTTTAATTACTTTACTTTCCTGTCTTGACTCGGGTGTTAAAGTAAAGTCTCAGTTAAGTGATTTATTTTAGAAGAAACTACAGGTTCTGCTACTTGAGGCAACTCATTTTTCTGAAAAAGCGGTAAAAGTGGGGGAAAATATCATCTTTAACATGAAAGATTTACCATAATATTGTGGTTTGTAGCATTAAATATCATTTGTATATTTAAATGGACACACGGAGCTTAAAATGAAATCAAAAGAAACTTTAGTTTAGCCAAAACAATGGCTGTTATGGCAGCAAAAATCTTACAAAGCTGGAGACGAGCTGCAAGTAGGCAGAAGGAAACGCACAAGGAGGACTGGACATGGCAGGAAAAAACAACAATGCTCAACTGGTGAGCGAAGTGAAGCTGAGGAACTAACTGGGCTGATGAGAGAAGGGGCTGCAGCTGTGATTGGTTAAAACAGGGAGCAGGTGTAGGTCGGCGTGGCAATCTAAACCGACAAAAACACAAGGATAACAAACCAGAGGAAATAAAACATGCATGAAAGAGATGAAACCGAATAACAAATAGAAAAACAGACACTGACAATTTTTTTTACCAAATATTACATTTTGAATATAGAAAACTAAAACCAAATTGCTGTTTTTGACCTTCCTAACATGTCCTGAAATGTGTTGTCCTCTGCAGGCCGTTCCTGGTGCTGCCTCCGCTGATGGAGTGGATCCGGGTGGCGGTGGCCCACACCGAACACCGACGGAGCTTCTCTGTGGACAGCGACGACGTGAGGCAGGCCGCCAGGCTGCTGCTGCCCGGCGTGGACTGCGAGCCGCGGCAGATAAAGTAAGAAGGATCAGTCCCGACAAACGAGCCCTCTGTGGAGACCGAACTAATCTCTCTGGGTTTTATTAGCTAAAACCTCAGCAGTAAAGAGAATTGATCKGTTGTCTTTGGTCTGGTGAACTTGTTTGGCATCTATTTACGACTGGTAGAGAATTAGCCCAAAGTTACAATCTCTTGCGGCAAAAARAGTAAATTAAACTGTGAAAAAAAAACGCATTTTATGAATTGAATAATGAACAAAAACAAATCTTCATAAAGCTTCTGCTACCGGAGCCTGACAGTAAAARGTATACTGGCTGAAAGAGCTGCTGAAACAACTGATAAGTCTAATTAGGCTGCCTAATTGTTCAGGAGACAATTAAGGCTCGCACTAAACTATTTCTGTTTCTAACTTTAGGACAGCAGCAACAGAAGATCGCCTCATTTTCTTATTTTTCTTCTTCATGTCTACAATCCATCACAGCTTATGTCTCCCCCAGCATCTCACTCCTCTAATTCTAGGGTTTTTTTTTAATCTGAGGGTTAAGAGTTTCTCCACGTTTCAAATATTTGCAGAGAAAGTAATAAACGGAACGCTAGAAGTGTAAATTAGCCAATTAGCATCTCTTTCTAAATGCCAGATATAATTGTTGGGTGGAATTAGACAAATATCACGAGGAGGTTTTGCCGTGACCCCCGTTGGGAACCACAGCTGTTCACGGCATTGATTTTAAAAAAAATAGCAAAAGAAAAGGAAAAAAGAGGCGCTTCTGAGAAGTAATGAGTCACGGCAGAAAGCTCATCCCGAGAAAAAGCTCCTGAAACAAATGAAGGCACGAGAGCGAGCGCTGACAGATTCAAACGTTAGCTCGGAAAGCTGCGTTTTGGCGTCATAAAAAAAGTGGAGCAACAATGATTTTCTATTCAGCGAGTGTGTGTGTTTGATCTCGAAATCCATTTCTGAGATAAGCGCCCACTTAATTGCAACGACGTATCTGTTGTTTCCATCTGCAGAGCGGAGGATTGTTTCTGTGCCACCAGGAAGCTGGACGCCGCCTCCACCGAGGCCAAGTTCCTGCAGGATCTGGGCTTCAGGATGCTCAACTGCGGGCGGACGGACCTGGTCAAGCAGGCCGTCAACCTGCTGGGGCCCGATGGCATCAACAGCATGAGCGAGCAGGTCTGACTCTTCACACACACACACATGCACACACACTCCTCCTACACACATATATGCAGCTCCAACATCCCACTCTTACTCAGGCGCAGCGATTTAATTTCCAAGTTTTACCTGGCAGCTCAGTTTGCACACAGACTCGGAGAAAGTGCTTCATTTTTCTGTTTTTGGTGGAAAAGTAAAGAAGTTTTCAGGAAAGTGTTGAATGTTTGATGTATTATTTATCACCCTACACACTAATCACACCGAGCCCCTGCAGTGAGTGTTATTTTTTTATTAAATCCACTTTTCACAGAAAGCTCAGGACTTAGGAGCTTTCTTTATAAATCCATATCTTCTTTTTCTTGTGGTTTGGGGTCTTTCTCTGTTGTGTTTGAACTTAGTGTGTGTTTGTGTTTTTTCAGTGGTTCTCCCTGTTCTGAGTTGCTTCTCCTGCCTCCTGGTTCCAGTCAGGATTGAATGTTTAGGCAAATATATTCATGCAATTCGTGTTGTAATTGTTGACGAATCTGTAGATTATATGAAAACTGACATTTTATCTAAAAAAAAACTGTGTAAATTGATGCCACGTCTTTTTTTTAATTCACTTTACTAGTAACTTCATCTAAACAGAAATAAGGACAAATTACACCAGGAAACGTATTGGTTTCCCCCCAATTATGCCTGAATTTATGTAATGATCTAGAGATTATTGGAGATATTGTTCAGCACCCGCTCACGTTATCCTCAAATGAACAAAAATATGTTTGAACACACATTGAAAACACTTTATTCCAAGTGACAACAAGATAAAAACGTACAAATTTGAGGTTCAACTTTCTGTTGCTCAAGCAACTTCTGTATAGGGCTCTAGAGCAGAAATTTTTAACCTAATTGGGCCGCGAGCGCCACCTTGAGGGCCTCAAAAGAACAACAGTTTTTAACTTTGGGCCGCAGAGGGCCGTGGGACCGCATTGATTTTGAATAAGGTGCAATACACTTTCTCACCACTAGTAGCAGTAGTGCGCCACTCAGATGTTTAACAACTTTTTAATATGTAGAAGAAGAAACATAGATCCCTGCCGAGAATAGAAACTTATTTTAAATGAAAAATAGAAGCAAAAATGAAGGTAACCCATCAAAAAAGGCCAGAGTTTGTTGCTAGTATGAAGTGCAGCTTCTAGTTCTATCATGCAGTATTTTAAAAGTTCAAAACATTATCAAATACAGTTGCAGATACAACTATATTTTAATTTGCACTTTAAATTCATTTTTTAGTTTATTTTTTAAATATTTTTAATGTATTTTACAGAAACTTTAAACTTGTCAAAAAGCTGTAGTTACTGTTGTTTGTCACTAATATGAAAAGTAGCTTCTGTTTCTACCATGCAAAAGTTTAAAAGGCTATATTTTCATTTATATTTTATCAAATTTAGTTTTACAGGTTTTTTTGTATTTGAAACATTTAAACATTTTTCATTTATTTATCTTACAGAAACAGTGTCGCATGAGTCATGGTTTCCTGTTTTTAACCAATGTAGGTAATGTAGTTTATATGAACCAGCTGAGCTGACCAGCTGGTCTATAGAAGTGTCACTTTTTTTAATTGCAAACCATCAAAAAGGAGCTCATGTGTGGTGTAGAGTTTAACAGGTTGGATTTTATGTAATGATTTGTATTAAATAAAAGGCCATATGGGGTTTTATATCCTTGTAATACTGTCTGAACTCGGCAAGACAGCAGACGGCGTTAAAGGAGCAATAAAGTAAAAGCTGCAGATTGTCTCCACATCTGAACTCATCACGGTAATCATCAGAGTCTGGAGCAGCCTGCTGATTAAGAAGATCAGAGCCCAGGATGGTTTTTTTTTAAGAACCGGTCCCTACGGAGGGATTTAAATCTGCAGCAGAAAGTGCTGCGGTGCGTTCTGAGCGACTCGTAAAAGACCGGCTCAGGTCGGACACACGACTCGTGCGAGAACGCTTCAGCAGGTCTGAAACAGAAGGAAGCGAGTCCTTTTGTTTGTTTCCCTTTTCGACACAGTCGATGAAGTTTTTCTCCCTGCAGCTCAGAGCATAATGTGCGTGGGCGAGAAGTGCATATGGTGGCCTGCAGAGATATAAGATGATCACCTCCGATCTCGCCGGGAAGGCAGTTATTCTGAGTGAAAAGAAGCCTAGAAAACTGCTGTAAATAAATCATACTGATGAGGAGGAAAAACGCTCTGAGTTTACTGTGTGTTGCAGGAAAGAGGCTGAAACAAACATAAAAAAAGACCAACATTCCTTGAAGCAATGGAAATCGCCCGCAGCTACAACCACATTAAATTTTAGTCAGTAATAATTGGCTGAGTGATAATCATTTTTGTGTTGGCTGATGTTCACAAGTTATGGTGGCCATCTCAAATTGGGGTGACTTCAAAAGTTAATCAGTTATAGATGTGCACCTAATAATCATTTCCTGAATGTTTCATTGAAATGCGTCCAGTGGTTCTTAAGATATTTTGCTAACAGACAGACAGAGTTCAATTCAAACAGTTAATGGCAAGTTTTTTAAAGGAAGACATGTGCCATTGTTTAACGCTCCAAATATGTATCAGGGACAAATCTCAGCTACTACCACACTAAAGTATTACTATCTATAAAACTAATTAAGTTAGAGTCATTTTGTGATTTTTAAGATCAGCAGTGTTTGGCAACCATCTTGAATTCAGGTGACTTCAAAAGTTAATCAGTCATCGATGCATACCTAATAATCAATTTCTGAGAAATTTATAAAATTCCATCTAGTGGTTCATGAGATATTTTGCTAACAGACACAGAAAAACATTATCATACACTTTTGTCTTTCAGTGGCGGTTGATATATCTCACCATTTTGCTACACACTTGGAACTGTTTATTCTCTGTTTCAGTTTGTAAATCGTCAGCTTTTAGAGAAGTGTTTCATCCTTTCCCCTCCCGCAGGGAATGACCCCCCTCATGTACGCCTGCGTCCGCGGCGACGAGGCCATGGTCCAGATGCTTCTTGACGCCGGAGCCGACATCAACAGCGAGGTCGGTGTCAGCCGTCGTGTCAAATCTGTCGCCGTGTTTCAGTGATTCCATCGTTTGTCCCGGTTTTAACGTGTCTCATTATGAATCCCCACCCCCCACCCCCCAC